TCGCCCTTCATTCATAATTGTGGTACATAGCTTCTCATCACCTTCGCTGTTTAGATCTTGACTTGTTTTTGACTTTCTTTCTATGGAATATTGGATTTTGTGGATACATGGCCAACAAATTGAAAGGAATAATTTGCAAAATGGAGTATTAATTAATCCATGATAGATGAAGATAGAATGCGCGAATTCACCTTAAAGTTAGGTAATAAGATTGGATCTATTTTAAATAAAAAATAAAGTTAGATTCACTCGCAAAGATTTTTAATTTTGATAAATCATCTTAAATTTAATGTTTAACATCAAATAATATCAGTAATTTATCAACAATGAATTTATCAATGACACAATAGATTAATGGATTGTTAATGTTATCTCATGTCATATGTGAAATTTAAGATGATTTGTTCAAATAAAAAAATTTATAACAAATTTGTTTTTATTATCTAATTTTGAGGGTGAATTTGAGTATTATAAGATATATGAATAATGATAATCTTTTGTCAGGTTAATTTTCTTTAGATGTCGACTTGTCTTTGCACTCTACTGTTTAATCATTTTTTTTATGAACTACTGTTTAATCATGTTAAGCTATCTATGTTTGAGATGTTTCATGTTCTCAAATACATCTAAAGTAATTATTATTCAAAAAAAAAAAGAACTAATTATACTTTAGATTATAAGTTTATTTCTTTAATTATAGTTATTTTAATTCTATCAATTTCTTTTAAAATATCCTAAACCTTATAGTAATATAATGTTATGCTTCTACTTCATAAATTTGATTGGACCTGTCCGATCTTCCATTGTTGGCCAAAAAAAAAAAAAGAAAAATCCAGCTCTTCCAATTAGGGCGCTTAAAAATTTTAGATAGATGAAGAAAAATATAGAAAGCCCTGGAAAAATTAAATCTGACCCGACATCCCAACCCGATGTTCCCGGTTTGGGTGGGGTTCCGAATCCACATTAGTCTCGTGTTCGACACAAAATCAAAATGATCCAATTCAGTGGACCCGCGGGTCAACTAGATTGGGAAAGCGCAAGAAATTAATTAATTTTTAAAAATTTTAAATATTGGCAAATATACTTTTAATCTTAAAATTGAAATAAAAAATGAAATTTGAAATGTGAAATAGTTATTATTTATTGAATCATGAGATTTAAATAATTGTTTGTCTTTTAGTATTTCTCTAAATTAAATATTTAAGAATAATTCATATATTTATTTATATTTTCTTTTAAAAAATAAAAGATACAATAAAATTTTGTGATAAAATAATTAATTAAAATAAATAAATAATGATAATATTAAAGTAAAAAATATTTATCTATTTTAAAAAATAATAAAACAACAATTAATGACAACCCAAAATCTAATAACGACAATTATTTTATGATAGAGGAAGTATAAAATAATATATTTTTTATCGATTAATTTATTAAAAATAATGATAAATAAGATTTTAAAATATTAAAAAATAAATTTTATATTATTTAATGATTGATTTTTTTGTTTTTAAGAATCGTGGTATTGTATATATATTTAATATAATAACATGGTATAAACTATATCATTAATTCTAAATTGTTGTTTTAAATTTGTCTTTCCTATTATTATTTATTTATTAATATTAAATTTCTTAAAAGAAAATATAAATATAAAAAAAATTTAATTTTAAAAAAATTAAGTGCACCTAGCCCTACCCGAGATCTCTGCCCAAGAAGGCAAGAACCATCGCAAGTGGATCATGAGTATTCAATATAAAAAATGGCACAACCTGATAGTTTTAAAACTCGAGGTTTCAGGTTTTTATGAAATGAAATTAAATAAAAGGGGAAAAAAATAAGAAGAGAGCGAAAAGTATCCACAGTAGAAGTCTTGCTCCTATACCATTGTGGGAGTATCTGGGACGTCCCTCTTTTCTTCTATTTTTTTGTTTTTTTAACGTATTTTATTATTTTTTTGGGTAATTAAAGATTAATATTTTTTGTTTAGTTGGTGCAACTTTGGAGGGGCTTATCTTAGTTCTATGCATCGGAAATGAGAGTCTTTTATTAAATTTTTATTAGTGAATTAAATAAAATAACATAAATTACAATAATGTCGTATGAAAAGAAAACTTAAATGAGTCAAACATGATAGATGCTTGAATTTTTAAATTTACATTTATGGTTCCAATTAATCGATGTTTTACAAATCTTCTTACAACTCTCCACAAAATATAATATTTTAATTTTATTTCACAAGATTTTATATTAAAATTGTGTTTCATATTAATTTTCTCCTAATAATAATCTGTTTTTGTATATTTTGTTGAATTTTTTCATACAATTTCAATGTATGTACTTAAGTGACCCCTCCCAATGTATGTACTTAAGTGACCCCTCCCATTGTTTATTCTTGTTCATTTCTACAGAGTTTCCACACAATGGAAGTAGGAGCTGCTCTTGTATCTGTTACCTTTGAATGGGTAATCAATAAGTTGGAGTCCAAAACCATTGAATGGTTTGAATTAGGAAAGGAGGCACGTGATGCATTAGAGAATTGGAAAAAACTTTTGCCGAGCATACGTGATGTTCTTGAAGATGCAGAGACGAAGCAATTAACCAATAATGCTGTAAAGAAATGGCTTTCAGAGCTTAGAGACATAGCTTATGATATGGAGGATATCCTGCATGGAGTTGAAGCTGATGCACGAAGGATGGGATTGAATTTAAAACCTTGTGATCAAGCCAACACCAGTAGGGCAATAAAACTTATCCCAACAGCATCATGTTTCACTGGTTGTAGTTGTATTCCCGGTGATTTCAAGGTTGATCGAGAGACTATTTCCAAGATAAAGGGCATTACTGATAGATTGAAAGACATCAAGGCACGCAAGGAGACATTGGACCTGAAAATTGAACATGGGACCAACGGGGTAGTTACCACACAAAGGAATTTCACTACTGAGGTGCCTGAAAGTCGTGTATATGGCCGGGAAAAAGACAAGGATGCTATTCTTCAAATGTTGCTAAAAGACGAAGATAGTACCAAAAGCTTCTCTGTGATTCCCATCGTGGGAATGGGAGGATTAGGGAAGACTACTCTTGCTAGACTTGTTTATAATGATGAAAAGTTGAAAGGCGTGTTTCAGAAAAAGGCATGGGTTTATGTCTCTGATAAGTTTGATGTTCTTGGAATAACAAAATCTATCTTAAGACAAATGAATGAAGAAGTAAGTGATTCAGAAGATCCTGGAAAGCTTCAATTGAAGTTAAAAGAATTGCTAACTGGACAAAAGTTTTTACTTGTACTTGATGATGTTTGGAACCGGGATTATCTACGTTGGGAAGGATTAGAAAGACTTTTCACATCGGGAGGACATGGAAGCAAAATAATTGTCACAACACGTAATGAGTTTGTTGGGAACATCATGGGAGGGGATGAAAGCAGGGTTTGTCGTCTTGATTTGCTTCCAGAAAATGAGTGTTTGTCATTACTTGCAAGGCATGCACTAGAAACAGAAAATTTTAATTCACATGGGCATCTTAAAGGAATCGGTGAAGAAATAGTGAAACAGTGTGGAAGGTTGCCTTTGGCTGTAAAAACCATTGCAGGACTTCTTCGTGAAGACCACTCAAATCCTGATAAATGGATGCAAGTATTAAAAAGCGACTTATGGAAAGTATCAGAAGGGCAAGGTGGAATTCTTCCAGCTTTGAGATTGAGCTATCATCATCTTCCTTTTCAGTTGAAAGCATGCTTCGCCTATTGTGCTATATTTCAGAAAGGTTATGAATTTGAGGAAGGTGATTTGGTTTCATTATGGATGGGACAAGGGCTCCTTCGACAACAACAGGCAGAAGGAGTGAAGCAAATGAAAAGCTTGGGTCGTCAATACTACCTTGATTTATTATCCAGATCATTTTTTCAGCGATCAAGCAACAATAAATCACGCTTTGTCATGCATGACCATATGGTTGATTTAGCTAGATGTGTTGCTTCAGAAACATGCTACCATCTAAGTATGTCAGACTGTAGGATACCAGAAGTCACTCGCCATCTGTCATTCTTTTGTGGTAAATATGACACCTACCAAAGATTTAAAGTGATGGATAAAATGAAGAGTTTGCGAACATTCCTACCACTATTTCCAGTTGGTAGCTATGGATCGAACTACTTATCGTATAGAGTGGTGCATGATTTGTTTTCAAAGATGAGATGCTTAAGGGTCTTGTCTTTCAGGGGTTATGGGATAAAGAAGGTTCCGGATTCAATTGGAGATCTGAAGCTTTTGTGTTATGTTAATTTATCTGGGACTCAAATTCAAAGTCTACCTGATTCTGTGGGTTTTCTTGTATACTTACAGACATTGATATTAAGCTATTGTCAGAAGCTTACTCAGTTGCCAAAGGGCATCGTGAATTTAGCTGACTTGCTTCATCTTGATATTACTGGTACATGGAGTTTAAAGGAGTTACCGTCAGGAATTGGCCAGCTGACAAATCTTTTGACTTTGCCCAAATTTATTATTGGAAATGACGGTGGGCTAAGACTAGGAGAGTTGAAAAACTTGAAGCATCTTCAAGGTAAACTGCTCATCTCAGATCTGCATAATGTCTCAAATTTTCAAGATGCTAATGAAGCCAGCCTATATAAGATTGAGGGCCTTGATGAGTTAGTCTTGCAATGGAGTGATGACTTCCAGACTTCACGAAATGGAAGCAATGAAGATAAGGTACTCAGTCAGTTGAAACCTCATTACAATTTGAGGAGGTTTACAATTGTGTTCTTTGGTGGATTGAAATTTCCATCTTGGATAAGTGATTCGTCACTCTCTAAATTGGAGTACCTAGAACTACGTGGTTGTCAAAATATCACTTCACTACCATCCCTTGGGCAATTACCACTGCTAAAAGAATTGATCATAAAAGGCATGTCTGAGTTTAATGGAGATAATTCCTTCTCTGGTAGTTTTTCATCACTAGAGGAGCTGACATTGGAGGACTGTCCCAAGTTGATTGGAAAATTACCTGGCCACCTTCCTTCTCTCAAAAGTCTTGTGATTCAAAGGTGTCCTCAATTAAGCTATTCACCACTGAGTCTCCCATCACTTGGAGTTTTGGAAATAACAGATTGCAATGAGGCAATCCTTAGGAGCATGATGAATGTCACTTGCCTCACCTCTTTGCAGATTGAGAGAATTTCAAAGCTTACCTGCTTGCCTAAAAGCATAACACAATTCTTGACAGCTGTTGAAACAGTAGACATTGAAGAATGTGATGAACTTACTTGCTTGTGGGAGGACGGAGCCAGTCTTGTCAGTCTTAAGTGTCTAAGGATTCAGAAGTGCCCTCTACTTGTATCCTTGCCAGACCTTCTGCCTTCTAGTCTTGAAATTTTGAGTTTAGAAAAGTGTGATAACCTTGATTGCCTGCCAAATGGACTGCATGGTCTTACTTGCCTTAAGGAATTGTCCATAGGAAAGTGTAAAAAATTTGTGCGCTTTCCAGTAACTGGCTTGCCATTGCATCTCAAAAAGCTTCAGCTCGAGGATTTGGTGGTTTTGGAGTCATTGCCAGATGGATTGATGAAGATTGGGGATGGAGGCAACAATATGCTGCAACTTGAAGAATTAGTCATTAAAGGATGTGAACAGCTCAAATCTTTTCCCAGAGACAAGTTACCCAG